GATAGCCCTGTTCTATACTGTATACACACATTATTCCCAGCAATTAATGCAAATAAAAAGTTTAAATACCCACCAGCAGGTATTTCTCCTGACCGTAAACATATGTTGTACTTATAGCGTAGTAAGATCTGTGCTCCTCTTTAATCGTCTTCTGTCGCTGAGAAGGAAAAACAGAGAGGATGTTGAGCAAAACTTGGCAACATTTTTTTATTAGATGGGGAAAAATGAAGGCTTTGCTGCTGTATCACTTTTGTCCTTTCTTTGAACGTTTTTAACAGAAACTCGCCACTGCATTCCAGGAACATCTCAGAACACCTGTTGTTGTAAAGTTGCTCTGATCTGCTCCTCCGGCTCTACAGGTCCTCCTCAAAGCTGCTCACGTATTTATTCTGGTCCACGTTTTCAGCTCACCACACAAACTGCTTCAAGAGCTGACTGAAGCCCAATATAGCTCACCCCTTGACCGGTGCATTGTAATGAGATAATCAGAACTAATCACTTTACCAGTCAGTGGCTTTAAAGTGTTGTGACTGCTTAGTGTGCTCTCTTTATTTGAGCACAGCCACTTGTTTCTGCTCACCGTGAGGTTTCTGCCGAGGAAGGCCTGGAGGAAGCCGCTCTTCCCGCTGCCCATGTCTCCGAAGACGTTGCAGCGGAACACGTTGCGCTGGGTCTGTTTCTTCTGCAGGTCAATCTTCTTATCTCTGGTCACTGTAGGGGGTCGAACCACACACACACACACACACACATCAGAGGATCAGCAGAGACTGCTGCTGGACACAAAACAGGCCTGCAGTCAATAACAGCAGCAGGAAGAAAATCTGCTTTAACCGTATAATCTCTGAAGGTAAAACAAATGTATCAGACCGCACATCAGTCAGTTTAAAGACATCAACAAAAAAATAAATATAAATTATGATTTCGATACTTTTAAACTGAACAACACTCATTGTTCGAGGTTATTGTGTAAAATAGAAAATAAATCATTACACCACATTGCTGGACAGACAAAATCAATTTTAATCGTGCTGGAATGCTCAAGACATTATAATCCACCTTTATAAAACTTTAATGTAAACTCATAATTTTTGGTGATATTAACAAATTGTACCTGTAATTCCTGCTGCTTGAGACTCCTGCTCAGCAATTATTGAGTAACCGAGGTAGCCCAAATACTCCAGGCATCGCTGGACGTCSAGGTAAGTTGTTAACCTGAATAAGAAATAAACATAAAAGTTAAAGAAAACCCTGTTTTGCTGATGGCGAAAGCTGTTTTTTTGAATACGTGTAAAGAAGTGTACCCAAACCAACTAAAAATAATTGACTTTTTTAGCTGATATTTTTTGTCCTGTTACAAAATACTACAGCGAAACAACAAAAGCAAATAAAGCTTTGACTAGTCATTTCTTTAATTAAGGCATTTCTAGTTAAAAACGTCCATATTGAAGGCGGTGGACAATATGCATCCCTTTAAGGCAGTGTTTCCCAACCCTGGTCCTCGGGCATACTGCCCTGCATGTTCTTCTTCTGCTTCTGCATTTTTTTTTTTTTTTTTTTTTTTGGCGGTTGGCAAAAAACGTTTGGTGTGCATAACAGCCACCGACTGGTATGGAGTGTGGTTCAGATGTTAAGTATTTCTAAATTGTTGTTGTTTATATAACTGTATATTCAAACTTTATTAAGCAATTTAAAAAAATCTTATAATTTGTATTGCTTTGCTCCCTAAATGCTTTTGTAAAGTGTCTATTATGTTTATTTTTTCTTTATTCCTTTCAAACTCTTTCCTCATATATTTTCTCTCTTCTTTATATTTATAACATTAAAATACCACATGTTCTATTGTTTTATCCTTTCCACAATGGTTTCATTTCCCCGTATCATGTTTTTTTTATTTTAAATAGAGAATGACTGAGTCCTGTATGTCCAAATCTTAATCTTGTTATTAATCTTTCCTCTTTTCTGCTTCTTCTCCCCCTTTTCATTTCTTCTACCGTCTTTTTGATTCTATAAAATCATCTTCCCCTTCTTTCTTCATCCCACCTTTTTTGCCATTCTTTCTTGATTTTTTGTTTAACGATATTCTTTGCTTCTGATTTCCTTGTATACACCATGAAATTAATGGTATTTTGAGTTGCCTTCTTTTGCCCTGCATGTTTTAGAAGTTTCCCTGCTTTAACACACCTGATTCAGATGGATGCAGTTCAAGAAAAGCCTGCTAATCAGTTATCAATTGAAATCAGCTGTGTTGAAGCAGGGAAACACATAAAACATGCAGGAAAGTGTGCCTTAAAGACCAGGGTTGAAAAACTGTTTTAAGGAAAGACAAGTCTTTAATTCAATAGGATGTTTTTATTAAAATAAACAAAAACAAAAATAGTAATAATTGAAAGGGACCTGAATTACACTCTGAATTAAAGGTCAGGTGTTTGGAGTTTAGACCGTAACAAAGGTATCAGCTGACATTTAGTCCTGGTGTATTGCTTTACTGTCGTTACACTGAAAAACCCAGGCAGAAACCAGTCATTTCCTCACAGCTCAGTGCTACTTACGTCCACTGTGAGAGATAGCCCTGGTATGTGATCCAGCCCTGATCGTTGGTGCAAACTGTGTTGTTAACATCTGCACCCCAGGGCATGTAGGGGAAAACATCAAACAGGTCCTTCAGCTCCTCGGGCGACAAGGCACAGTCCCGGTCCTGAGAAGCAGAGACGGGTTATTTAGTAAAGAAGGTGATTGTTTTTAGTGTGGTTCAAAGCAGAACTGTGATTGATTATTTAGCCAGTCAATGAGTTTGTGTTCTTTAGAGCTGTGAAACTGATTTTTATCTGTTTATCTCTAGCTGAGGAAATGACATTAACCATGTTTTCATTCAACGGATCCATGTGCAGATCTACTGTGCATGTTTGTGCCTCATTTTAGCTTAATGYTTRAAGTTTAGTTTCWAACAAAGGCWAGGAGAAAAACACTTACCTGTGCCTTTGTTTTATACTTAACTTTACTTTAAGCTAAACTGAGGCACATGCATGCACAATACATCTGCACATGTTGCTCTTTCCTGTCTGTTCTTCTTCTTCTTCTTCTTCTTCTTGTCGGATTTATGGTGATTGGCAACAAACAGTAGCATTACCGCCACTTACTGGGATGGAGTGTGGTTCGTGATGGTTTAAATATTTATCCTCATCTATACTGTATATCCATATATTCTACCATACATTCTATCTAAACATACACTCATACATTCACACTCAATTTATACATACTTATGCCCAACTTTGTATATCATGTATTCATTCACAAACACACTTACTATAATTAAATTCTATGAAATAATTTAGTTTTCTTTAGAAATCGAATAATTATTTGCATTTGTTTACTCCCTAAATTCTTCCTCAATATATCTAATAAATTAACCTTCTCCTTAATACTTTCAAACTCTCTCTTCATATACACTCACCGGCCACTTTATTAGGTACACCACGCTAG